GTAACACTGCTTGCGCAGGTAGATGACTTTACAGGATGTGGTTCTTGCCTTTGTAAGAGCCCATCTCTCCTGGCTCGGGGCTGCTCTCTGTGCTGCTGCCTCTCAGTGGTGCAGAGGGTAGTTGCTGGCCAGCTAATAAAGACTCCCAATTTGGCTCAATTCGGTCTCTCGGTGGTCACTTCTCACACTCCGTACCATAACGCTTCAAGGAGGAGTGACAAAAGTTATGTTTATTATGATTATCACTTTCAGGCTCCGAATCCAGTTTATGCAATACACTTATTTCTTGTCACTTTAGTTCTTTCTTTAAAAAATTCTGAGTAGTGTCTCCTGCACTCGATACTGCAAGTGACGGGACAGCTGGATTCCATGACACTGCAAGTTTGAAGCCTTCTGCACTGCTTTCTGCTCTAATGAGAAACACCATTTCCTTGTGCTTTCAATCCCCATCGAGAATTGCAGAACTGATGACTTACGGTGATGAGCTGGAAAAACAATTCCATTCTTTGCACATGAAGAACTCTTAGAAATTCTTAAGAAAAAGACCAATATCCTCAAAGGGGAAAAAAAAGACAAAGTTCACAGAAAAATAAATACAAATTTCCTAAATATCTGAAAGTGTGTTTAAAATCACTTATAATAAAATGAAAATTATTCACACTGGAAGAAAAATTTTGAAAAGCAGGAGCAGAAAACTAAGAGAGAGCAGCTGGAATTGCCCTCCTTCTTTCACACCTGGAAGTCCTTCCGAGAAAAGCCGTTTTGTGAGTCATGAAAACTGCAGGTCACCAAATAAAGGTAGAAGTGGGTGTAGAGGTGAGTGCTGCTCATTCTTCATTGCTTTGTTGAGTAGATGCTCACCAGCCTACGTCGGCTGTGACTCCAAGATAGGATTCAGATTAAGCAAATCAAAGTATAGAGAAATAATCAGCCTTAGATTAACTATCATTAATGATTAATCTATTTACAAAGTGAAAAAAATTGTGTATTATATCCTTACATTTTCCATGCTCTCTGTATTAAGTATTCATGTTCACATTTAATTGTTGTAAAAGAACTGACGTTTTATAAAAAACCAAAAGGATATTTATTGTCATTGAACAGAATCTTGAATTAAAAAGAATTAAAATACACACACACACACACACACACACACACACACACACACCCCATGCACACGCACACACACACACACCTGAAAGACGTATATTCACCTAAGAGTGGCATATCTCAATTGCTATTTTGATTGTTTTGAATGACTACCTCTTAATGACCAAATTGTTCAAGTCAGTATGTGATCACAGAAAGATCGCCATAAAAAAATACACAATATACTTATGGTTTGATACAATAGAATTTCTCTCATGCCCATAGGGGCCAAAAATTAGAGTTATTTAAATTTCTTTTCTATTTCTAAGACAAAT